AGATACTACACGTTAGAGATAGAAAGCTCATGATGGCTCTTACTTATTTTTCTCCCTTCAGATTGCATATCTTGACTCTCACTTTCTTTGGCTTTCCATCTCCCCCAGACATACACGGCTGCTACCACATGAGATCAGCCACTTATCCTCCAATCCTAAGCGTCCACGTGTACATTTGCTCAAAGGGGCTGACGAGCGCATGAGCATAGAGATTGATTCATCGGAGCAAAAGCCAATGTAACTTCTTTCTTTTTTTTTTCGGGTTTTCCTATATCAGTCCCTTGCGTATTTCAGAATATGATATTAGTCGCTCAAATCATTGAATTGCTGATATGCCCCTCATATCGAAGAGGGTCATCGCGGTTCGCTCCTGTATTAACTTTTTAAGTTAAAATTCATAAACCATGGTTAAGAACAAGTCAATTACCAAAATATTCCTCCCTGGTCATCGTTTTTGTGAGAAGAACGCCACTAGGGAAGCTAACATATAGGTTTAACAGATGGTTAGACATAATTGCGGGGTGTAGCTGAAAAATTCAGCGCCAAAGATTAGATCTGAGGAAAATATTCTTGTTAGCTAGACGAACCAAATTGCACGTGACATTATGATTCGAGGCGCCTATATCACCAATTCCAATGGCTTGAGCAAGCTACCGCTAATTTCCGATGATGGGGACTAATGCCAAATTACGTAAGATGTTAGGGGCGAAGGAAGTCAAAACTACGTTCTTGAGCATTTTGTGTGTGTTCCTTTCCAACTTCCAACTTGCCCGATGAGATTAACTTTTTCATCATCACAAGTTCTCTCTTTTGTGCATCTTCTGATTTTATTTTTTATCTTTTTGGTTTTTTTGCTTTTTTTTTTTAGCCGAGCACAAACTCTGGATAAAATAACATTCTTTGCCGTCTTGTCTATAATCCAATTCCAGCTTCCGGCTTGCTGCGTCGTGCCTCGTTCTAGGATTCAAAAAGCGGCAAGAAACCAACCAGTCAAGAGAGAAAAAGTCGACAACTGGCAAGAGCAAGCAACGTGCGTTCTCAAGGTTCACGAAGGAGGCACCAATCTCAAAAACTCAAAAAACACCGCCAGCATATTGGCACCCCGCCTCATCTGTCGCTTTTTGGGGTAAGATAAGATAAGATGGATCGCATTCTAACATGTACTGTGGCACTCGTGAATAGTACAAGGCAAGAGCAGTGTTTCGAGAAAAATGAAGGGCTCGCTAGGATTCGAACTCAGTCTTTTGCGTTCAAATCCAAAAACCTCAAAAAGGACTTCGCTAGAGCACAAGTCGGAAAAAGATTTATGCAAGATCTATTTATTCATTCTGAGCATGATTCTGGGGGCGGGTTTTAGTATTGGTCTTCGCTGATATGGGTAATTTGGTCACTGCCTGCTCATCCTCGATTAACCACTGAACCCCGTCATATTTTAACTATCATCGGCATAAAACCCAGCTAAGAAAACATAGACCTCGAACACAGAATGGGCAAGCTCTCTTTTGTTTACCTACCACAATCAGTCAAAGTTCGAATGTAATCTTTCATTCTTCCCAAAATGTCCCAAAGAACACCACAATTCAAATAAATTAAAGCAAAATAACAATGACAAACGACTGTGATGAGACAGAGAAACAAATCCAAAATCACAAACAGACAGTCACGAGTCACCAATTCAAATTCATGACCTATTTCTCTATAAACTAAATTTTCAAAAAATAAAAGAAAGGGGGAAAAGAAAAAAGGAGAAACCTCTCTGCTGAGTTAGAATCTTTCACCTCGAGTTTCGGAGCCAGCGACCACCATTTCCGAAGACAATATTTAATTAATCCTTCACAAATTAATTAATTTTAACCCATCAAAACATTTTAAAAAACAACCCCCATTTTCCAATGCTCTCAACGGTCAGTAGCGGGTCGTCGCCTGCGCGACTGGAGCCGATGCAAGTGCGCGCGGTGGAGCCCTCGGCACTGCGCCGCCGGGGACCCCCAAAGCACCATCTCACTTCCCGACGAACTGGGACCACCGCCATAACTACAGCCTTCTTCAACCTTCACCTCCTCCTTCAAACCCTTCTCCTCTCCGCCGGCCGCCGGCAGCTCGCCGGAGCGCGGCGAGGCAACTGATGAAATTCCGGCTGCGAGAACCCCGCGCAGTGACGACCACTGTCCCGCCGAACCAGAGGCCCCGCCACCGTCCCTCCGACGACCTGCCCCTGCGATCCGGCGACCGAACCCTGAACGCCGCCGCGCTCCCGACGCGAGATGGGGAAAAAGGTTCCCGCCAAGGACAGGATCTCGAACTTGCCGTTTAGGGTAACGGGTGGGTGGCGGAGGAGGGGTTAGAGAGCGGCGCCGGCGGCGGAGAGGACGGAGAGGCAGAGCGGCGGGAGGCGGCGAAGTCGAAGGCGGCGGAGAGAATGTCGTGTTGGGGGAGATTTGGAGGAAGATGGGCGTCATTGTGGCCGTTAATAGGCTGGGTTATAATCACGGGGGGCTTGGGTTTGTTTTCGAGCCTGGAGGTCTCGCCTCTGGCCCTTTCGGCCCAGAGAAGCGCTTCCTGAGCCGGCATCCGGGCCCAAGACGAACTGTTGGAACATGGGCTTGTGGTCCTCTTCGTTGTCGTCTGCGTTGGCGTTGTTGGTGTTTGAGGGGGAGAGGAACTCAGCCATCGTTGATGGTTGCCAGAGACTAGAGAGTGAAGAGGGAGTTTTGGACTCCGGTTTTGTTGTTTTATAGTGGGCTGGAGACCAATGTGGGCCCAGAATCCAAGATGGTGTGATTTGTTCGACCCGTCACGTCGATGGGTCTGGCCGTCTAGGTGCTTTTTCCAGGGTGTGGACAAAGCTGGGTGGAGATTTGGCAGGGGATTCATTACGGTAAAATTACGGGTAAGGACCACAATTTATGCCTGAACCTTGGGGTTTCTTACAAATCCCCTTGAACTTTGTCGACAACTCCTCAAACTTTGTGGAGTTTCACAAAATGTCACTAAACTGTCAAAAATTATTATCACTAACGAAAAGTAAAGAAAGTGCCCTCTAGGGAGTGCACAATTTAGAATAAAAATATTATTGTAGTATTTTTATGATATAAAATATTATATTATAATTTAGTATTTTTATATTTAATATAATAATATATTAATTATATTATAATATAGTTTAATACGATAATATATCCTATCAGGTAGAATACTTTAATTTATATAATTTACTATTTTTCATTACACTTTATTATATTAATTAATAATCTTAATATATTATCAATATTATGATAATAATAACATTTAAATAATACTTTATTGCTATAATAAAAATATTAATAACCTGCTATATATCAAAGTGTGTTATTACATATAATATTATATATAAAATTAATATAATATATTAGTTAACAATATTAAACATATCCTCAGTATATTACGGTTATTATAAATATTATATTTTAATAAGAAGCTATGTCATTGACTTTCCCATTTAAATTATAGTTATTATCATTAAATATTATATTATATTTTAATAATAATATAATATTTTAAATAATATTATAATTATTATATAATATATTGTATTATTATAATATAATATAATATATTAATTAATAATATTAAATATAGTTATAATTAATTAGTAATTATAATATAACATATTATATTTTAGTTTAAAGTAAAATAATGTATTATATTATAATAACATTCTTAATAGTATACTAAACCAATTGGATAAATTAATTTAGACTTAATTGATTATAAATATTATATTTTATTAAGGTACAGCATCATTAATTATCCTACACGAATTGTCTAATCAAAGATTTACATTGTCCGATTATCCTAACTTGTTTCAATTTACCCCACTCAAAATATCCTAAAATGATATCCTTGTTTTATTAAAATAATTATGCTACTTAGCCCTAACTTATCCCAATTAATATTTAAAAGCTCTGATGCGAGTAAAAAAACCCAATGGCCAATAGGCAATAGCCACCTCGTATAGTGCTGGGTCACCGGCTACGATTTTGGACCACGTTTCGAAACGCTCAAGTCCTACATGGGCCTTAGACAAAAGCCCACGACCGACGGCATTCAAACAGAGTGGTCACCGACTCTTGCTACTCACCAAGCAATTTTTAACATAAGCATAGCAATTAATTTAAAAAAAAAGTAAAAAATGAGTCTCACTTTAATTTACTAAATATTTAATTAATTTAATTAGAGATATATTAGTGATATTTAAAATTGAGAGATAGGGAAAACATAAATAATACCATTTTCTTCTCATTACTTTTCTCAATATTTCTATCAGTCGCATTTATCCTCCAATGTTTTTCTCATAACTTTTATTAAGAATATCTCTATCGGTTAATCCTTTCTAAAATCAAATTCTTTTCAGGTAATCTTAACATTCTCGAGTCAAAATCTAATTTTGTATCATATTTGAAGTAGGATCAAGGAAAAAAAAGAAAGAAATAAAGAAAAAGGAAAAAGAAGGGTAAATTACACTAATCCCTCAGAAACTTTTAACTGTTCTACATTAAACTCTAACTATTGAAATTGCAGAAAATCTCCAATAAGTTTTCACGTTTTATTTGATAATCTCCATGATGACGTCAATCCATATTTTGCACTTTCAACACACTTGCATCATAAATCTGGACTGACACTATGATGGGAGTTTTTTGCAAAACACAAAAACTTATTGGGAGTTATTTTGCAATTCCAATAGTTATTGGGGATACAGTACGAATTTAGAAGTTAGTGGGGTTTTCACTCTAAAATACCAAGAGTCCTGGGTAGTGTAATGCACCCAAGAAAGATTAATACACTGAAAAACATTCCTCACACTTCGCAGCCGTCCCTAGTCACCCACCCACGAGCAAATATCCCCAGCCCCCAAACGCTCCAAAGATTAATAATAACAATAAGAAAAATATTGAGAGAGAGAGAGAGAGAGAGAGAGAGAGGAGAAATGGA